AGTACCTTTTTATGCATTTTTTGCATCTATTCAATGCAGAAAACGCATATTGATGAGGGGTTGTCTGTGTGTCTGTGCGTCTGTATGTGCGTCTATACCGATTTTTCATCTCAAGACCTATAAAAACTACAGGGCTGAAAATTTGGGGGCTTGGTCGACATGCACGTACGGCTTTCAATCCACAAAAGTGAGCGCCCTTACCCGCGTGGTACCCTCTTACGGGCCCGCCAAAGTTCTTGACAAGGAAGCTGCTAACTCGGGAATCAGAAAAGCTAGAAAGCTGCAATTTTAAAGAGATGTTCTCCATCCGTGTTGGTATTAATGTGCTCAGACCCAGCCCCGGGGTATGCGTGGTTCTGACGTATGAGCTTGTGAAAATTTTTTCGGGTGAGTTGCTAACTCGGGAACCAGGAAAGCTAGAAAGCTGAGATTTTAAAAAGATGCTTCCTGACAGTCCTGGCGTCCAGTCTCAGTTCTTTTAGCTTTAAACATCTGCCGGAAAAAAACAATGCCATTAGCGACAAAATTCTGCGGGGAACTATGCGAAAAACGCATCTTCGTACCGGCATTCGGTGTGCCGGCCATTTATTTGTTAGCGTGAAAGATGGGTTTTTGCAGATGCAACTCGTCGTATCTGGAGGATGTTAAGAAGATCAAGAAGTTCGATGCTCAGGCTGCTGGATACAAATTTGATAAAATGGTAGTAGTGACCGAGTGGGAAGAGTTTGGTGCTAAGGTAATAGATTTTCTTCCAGGAGTTGTTTTTGTTTTTTTCGTCATAATTACATTCTTTCCATTGTATTCCGACTGCGGCCTTAATAAATACGGATTGCAGGGTGAGTTGTCCAGTGTTTTGACGGAGTTCGACCAAGAGATTGACGAAGCATCGGTTCATAAAGGCAAACAAATGTAAGCTTTTCACTACAGTGATAAATTCTATGTTGAGACTGATTTCAGCATTGTGCCCCGTTCTGTGAAGAGCTTGAACAGGGGATTTGCAGGATCGATAAGCTCACTGGTGCACTGTACCTTGGCGAGTTA